TCATTACTTTTTTGAAACACGTTCCAACGTGATCTTAACAATTGTCCGCAAAAAGTTCAAAAAAAAAACGGTGCTCCAAGTGTTTGACGATTTCAGCCAGACGGAAGAACTCCTTGGGCTCAAGAGTCAGTGGTTAAGGCGCGAACAGTTGGGAGGTCCGTGGTTCAAACCCAACCGGGACATGTGGACAGTTGTTGTCTGGGCTTGCAAGTATCTCAGCCTTCGTACTTCCTTCTAGCAGCTAGCTACCTAAAGGATGTTGCAGTTGAACTATTCTTATCCTATCACCGTGAGCCTCTGTGATATTGGCCACAGTATCTTTTAGCAAATTATATTCATTTGCACACCGATTTTGTTTTCACGGGATCTCTCCTTCTTTAACTGAATGTGCTGCTTCAGCTCGCCTCATAGTTTAGCTGGTATGACACCGCAGTACCTTGTTGTCCGGACGTAACACACTACTCATTAGGTTACTGAAAAATTTTCGACAGCCTACGACCAAACTTTTGCGCAGTTTCGGTTCGGATACAACTTAAGGTTAAAAGGAGTCTCATGAGGCGTTTGATGGGATGGTGTTTGAAGGCTTTTCGAGATGAAAACTGACATCTATACGGTCTTTTTCTTTTCATCGCAATGAGACATGTAGGTGAAATATGTTCAGTTATCAAACGAATCGATCTTGCTCAGAATTTGACGCTTTTCGGTGCACATGCTACAAGGTCAGCTCCATTAGTCAACGCCGCTTATTGTCAACCTAACTGGGCATTCCAAGAGGTAATGTTAAATTCTGGTTGGGAGCATATTTGGTTGATTTCACTCTTTTCTTTTTTTTTTTTTGGGGGGGGGGTGGTCTCGTGATGCAAATCACCTTGGCACCGATCTATTTCGCTCTCATCCGGGAACCACACTGTCTGCAGGGTCGCCCTCCTGTGGAGCAACAATACTGCGCTGGGATTTAAAATTATCGATAGAGAATGTGGGCGCTTCACTGCTAAGTGTATGCTGCCGGTCTACATTGTTGTACCTCCGTTTTCAGGTCAAGCACTGAGTTGCGTCGGACCCATGAGAGCCTGTCCGTCGATCCTATTCATTTTTTCGGAGCTAGAGCTGGATTGAAGACTCTTACCGATCATCACACCTGGCTGCACTGTGCCAAGAGGTTGCGCTTTAAAAAGACTTCATTTCGAGACTTCAGAGTAGAGAATAAAGGACGGATTGAGCTGCAGTCTTTCTGACGGACCAGGTGGCTTTGGACAACTGAGTGAGTGCGTGAATCAGCTAGATCTCTCCCGTCTTTAGCATTGTACTCTCTGGGTGACCTTTTTCGTCGTAGAGGTTCACCATTTCTAGTTTCTTTCCTGAAGCGATGAACTAGCCGACTTAAAGCGAAAGCAGGCAGCCCCAATCACTGTTACGTGACCACCCGACGCTAAATGTGGTACGTACTCTCCCTGTCGGTCTACGCCACCAGCGCACGCTGAGGTTGGCCGGGGTCTTGATCACACATGGTCAAGCGAGCGAGTCTTAACCGGTCTATTCGACTGGGGGCGAGATGGCGCAACCGTTTAGAGCACGAATTTACTGATCGAAAAGTCCGTCGTTCGAACCCGACCTCTGCCTCTCAACTTTCTTTGTATAAGCTTGAGCAACCTGGCAGTATCCCAGCTCCCGTGCAACCTTTGGGTGGCATGGTAGATGGGCACCGAAAGGGAGCTAAAGCTGAACGATTTTTCTATTCGACTATCCAGTAGGTGTCCATCCCCATCTAAGGCTGCTAGCTTTAGCCACAACGAGAATAGTGCGATAATGATGGCGAACGAGACAAGAACGACAGGACTAGGTGGTACGATGCAAAAGTGTTTTTGTTGAACTCCCGCAATAGACGAAAGTCGGAGTGATGTCTTGTCGGTAATTCTTTTTTAGGCATGTTCATCCCCATGACGAGAGGGCCTCACGGGCTGATGAGTCTGTTGTTCTATCTTGGGAAAAGTCCTCACTTCAGGAGCATCAAACAGGATACCATACACCGAGCGCATTTACCATGAAACAATTAACAGAGCTTCTGATGAACACTTTCATTTGCACACTAGTAGCTGCTTCGGTGTGCCAGAGAGTTGTGCGTGTGCGTGTCCCTTTGTCGTTCCACCATCGATCTGCAATGTGACTTGAGTGGCTGATTGGGTGCGTGTCCGATTGATTGGCTCGCGTGAGCGTTGTGGGTTAACTTGATATGTGACTGAGTTGTTTGCACACCCGCCACGAAAACGGACCAGTTGGCCGCGTGTACACAATACACCAGTATGCGTACTTACGTGTTCTTCTGACTTACTGTGAACTAGAATACTGGCGACGGGGATTGGATGAACCCACGCGGAGAAACCCCAATGGATTAGCAATCTATAGCCTTAACCACTCAGCTACCCCGTTTGACGGTTTTGACGGAATCCTCAGCTGAATCCTGGCTGAAACTCCCGTTTAGTACTCCAAGTGAAAGTTCTGAACCAGGCCGCATATTGTTTCAGTTGGCACGATATTCGAGATGTCGCAGTATATTTTCTAAACGTCATCTTAAACGCAAGATTCAGGTTAGTTTTTTTGTATATCAAAAGCAGCTTAGTGTTTATTGAATCCCGTACATTTTGGGTTCACGTAGAGCATAAGACTGACGGAAATTCGGAAACCATGCCTACTTGATGGGCCTCAAGAAGAACGTAATCGCGAGTTGCTGTCGCAAACTAATGAGTAGTGTGTAACGTCTACACAAAATAGTTTCCGTTTCATTTCAGTACCAAGGAAGATTTCTTTTCAACTGAACAGTTGTTCCATACCTTCAGAAGCCTGGCTACCAACTCGCACCTATCATTCGGTCCGCCAAATTGTGGCTGTTTTCAATTTTAACCTGACCTGACATCAGTTTGTGTATTCTTAAAATGAAGCGACTTTTAGTTAAACATCGAGTGTCCAAAAAATCAGTAAATTCAATGGTAGGAGAATAAAATTTAAATAATCCTGCTCCAAAAGAATGTTTCAGTCAAGTTTACTGTTCGTGGGGCCCCGTTAATGCTTATAGGTTTTAGCTTGGGGGTGGTGGATGAATAAACAGACACGGTTTAGCGGAGTGTGGTCTTGTTAAACGAATGGCGATCGAGAAACACATAAGATGGAGAATACGGGAAAGTTCCAAGGATGAGTTAGTTGGCCACTTTTCGGCAGAACGCGAATTAATCAGGCCCAATTCTGTACACACAGAGAGTTCGTTTTTTCTTCACTTTCGGTCTTCTTTGTTGGGATTGCACAGACCCCGCATATACGTCCAAACACGATCCACGCAGGAATGACACGCCGCTAATACCGAGTTTCGAGGCTTCGCGATTTCATCATCGTCACCCAACGAATGACGATCTTCGGTGTACCTTAAACACAAAGAGAATACAGGACATCCTGTTTCATGAGTTGAGCTCAAAAATGTGGCGAGTAGATGCATCGGATCTTCCTCCGGGAGGAACGTTCCTTGCAAAACGGGTGATGAATTTGCGAGTAAACTCAATGCTTGGACGGGAGTTACCTAAGCTTGACTCACTAACCTTTTTGTCTCCCCAGCGAATTCTTCCCTAGCGAGAATAGCTCTGATAGCGCCAGATGCTCTTGTCAAAGAAATTAACCTATTTCCCCTGTCGCCAGACGGTTACTGCAGGCTGATTCCTTCACGCCGTTTGGTTTACACTCTACCAAGGTCCTGGTCCAATCTGATCGGTAAATCCTGTGGACTTGGCGGACGAACCACCGCGCATCATGAGACGATTTACATGATGAGAAAAATCCTGTGTTAGAGGTCTTGTTAAACGAATGGCGATCGAGAAACACAGAAGATGGAGAATACGGGAAAGTTCCAAGGATGAGTTAGTTGGCCACTTTTCGGCAGAACGCGAATTAACCAGGCCCAATTCTGTACACACAGAGAGAGTTCGTTTTTTCTTCACTTTCGGTCTTCTTTGTTGGGATTGCACAGACCCCGCATATACGTCCAAACACGATCCACGCAGGAATGACACGCCGCTAATACCGAGTTTCGAGGCTTCGCGATTTCATCATCGTCACCCAACGAATGACGATCTTCGGTGTACCTTAAACACAAAGAGAATACAGGACATCCTGTTTCATGAGTTGAGCTCAAAAATGTGGCGAGTAGATGCATCGGATCTTCCTCCGGGAGGAACGTTCCTTGCAAAACGGGTGATGAATTTGCGAGTAAACTCAATGCTTGGACGGGAGTTACCTAAGCTTGACTCACTAACCTTTTTGTCTCCCCAGCGAATTCTTCCCTAGCGAGAATAGCTCTGATAGCGCCAGATGCTCTTGTCAAAGAAATTAACCTATTTCCCCTGTCGCCAGACGGTTACTGCAGGCTGATTCCTTCACGCCGTTTGGTTTACACTCTACCAAGGTCCTGGTCCAATCTGATCGGTAAATCCTGTGGACTTGGCGGACGAACCACCGCGCATCATGAGACGATTTACATGATGAGAAAAATCCTGTGTTAGATATGATAACTCCAAACGGTTTCCCGTTTATCTCTCAGCTCATGCGATTGATACGGTCACTCAGTAAATAACCTCCAAGCACAATCCTTTCTTTTTGAGATAAGTAACTTCAATGAGGTCCCACCGTCGTGTGTGTTCAATCAGTGCTGATTCAACGGAACAGATCGAAAACTGTCATCCGAAAAAGAGTGATTAGAAACACCGCTTTGTTGCTAGCTGTTTTACACATACTATCATCCAGTCTCCGGCCCCAAGCAAGTTTTGTGTCTCGGATTTCCGATTTGATCCCGCTGGAGGTTCTGTCAGCGTGTTTTACAAAGGCGATCAGAGAAGAACCCAACGCTGGTTGACAGTGAAAGACCTCTGTCTGGTGGTCCTCATAAACGGCTGTTACCTGAGTGACTAAACGTCAATTACAAACTGAGATTTCCAATAAGATTACATCCTTTCGGTGAAAAGTCAGGTGGCACCGTACAGCTGCTCTTTCATCCCCGAGAGTTCTGAACACGCTTTAGAACAAGAAACCGTTTGGCCACTGGCGTTATGATTAGCTCTGATGTCAAATTTTATCAGTAGTAATGTAAAAACTCACGGAACTGATAAATAGGAGGCAGAATGTGGTTCATCATCATCGTCCTCTTCTTGGTCACCTTCATTTTCGTCCTTTTCATCAATATCTTGAAGCGCGCTTTAAAAAAAACATGTGCATGTCAATTACTTTTGTGATGTCCTTTTGGCTGTTAAAAGTACTTTGGTTGTCAAAATAAACGTTCTGATATGAGTCTCCAATTCCGCTTAAGTGTGATCAAAGCGTTCAAAAAAGGTAGTTTGTACCTGAAAGCCTTCGATCGATATTTGGCATTTCACAATCTTGAATCACTTGTATTCAGCTAACTGAGTCTGGGACGTCGGCATGTCTAAGCAACAATGTGTCCTACATCCCTCAGTGGATAATCCCAGACTGCTCTCGAGGTTTAATTTTCACAGTACTGATTTGGGCAGTAACTGGAAGTGAGGTCGTCGAGAGGTAATATTACTTGAAATGGGACTCAAGAAGTAGACGTATCCAAATCGAACGAAGCAAACGGTTATGTCTGCCCCCCCCCCAGTAGTGTGCCATCACGAGATTACCCCGCCTGCTACCACAACCATTTCTATCTGGCCACTGAAACTTGGCATACAATTCGCGTGGTCGACTGGCCCATCGCACCACCCCTGAAACTGCTCCCGCCGCCACAGAAATCAAATTTGTGCACAAGGCTTTTGTACATTCTGACGGTATCTGAATAGCCGAATGATGAGGGGAAGTTCAATAACTTCTGCACGGTACGTAAGCACTGTGGCAGTTCCCCTCGTAGAGACCACTCTCATGGTCAGTTTCTCAAGACTTTTCAACGTGAGATTACCTTCTAAGGTAGACACCACTTATCAAGAGGAATGAAGTTCTCCAAATCTTTTCAGGCAATCTCTTGAGAGGGAGCCATTTTGACAGTTTTTTTCTGAGGAGGGAATCCAACTGGAAGGATCAACCGAAAGTTCTTCTCCCTGAATTATGGGTACTTAGAAGTTACTAAAATGTCCAATCCCGATTTTTCAATTCTAAGAAGCAACCCAGTTGGACTCTGCTGTGAGTTGGTCTCTTCTGTGAGCAAGTTACCTATTGAAACGGATCGTCACGAGTCAGTTGATAGCTGCCTATTTCTTGTGATGCGTACTTTTCCTTGAAGATGGTCAGTAAAGAGAGGCTATGTCCTTCACAGTGGATTCTAACCCAAGAGCAAAATAATTTCGCTAGAGTCCAGAGCAGTTCATCCCATCTATCACCATAATATCGGGATCAGAGGTTGGGTTCCTTTGAATTTCAAATCAAGCCAATTTGGACATTTTTTCTCTGATAGTGACGGTAAAAGCCATAACGACGGCTTCCAGGAATCACCGTAGCACCTGCAGTCAACTAGGCTCAGTGCATAGTTTGATTGCCTCGATAGTAGATTGTCTTTCTCTGTGAGTTGTCAGCTCTCAGCGGATTCTACCTCCGCTAACCACATGGGCTTGTAGCTACCCGAGCACACACACACTTGACTGTTCAGCACATAGTCGCTCACTGGATCACGAGACTTGTTTTTGACGTACTCAAACCACGTCAAATTAAGCTGACCCATCGGACACGGTTGTCTGTATCGTCTAGTGAGCGTAGTAACTACTCATGTGCTGACGCACCCACGTACACGCAAACGGACCTACATATAAGGAAACCGAACACAGTCAACACACACAGACTCGCGCGCGCGCAGGAGCAAGGAGTCAGCCAAG